GGAGGGAGAAGGGGAGGGAGAGGAAAAGAGAGCAAGGGAGGGAGAGAGAACAAGGGAGGAAGGGAGGGAGGGGAAGGGAGGGAGGGAGAGGGAGGGAGGAAGATGGAGGGAGGGGGAGAGAGGGAGAGAGGGAAAGAGAGAGTGGGAGGGAGAGAGGGGGAGGGAAGGAGGGAAAGAGAGAGGGAGGGAGGAAGGAGGGAGAAGGGGAGGGAGAGGGAAAGAGAGCGAGGGAGGGTGAGGGAGGGAGCGAAGGAGGGAGAGAGAATGAGGGAGGGAGGGAAAGGGAGGGAGGGAGGGAGGGAGAGAGGGAGGGAGAGAGAGACATATGAAAATTCTCTCTCTTTCAATGCAAAGCCACGGCAAGGACCGATCATGCAAACACTGTGAGGACAAAGTGTGACACTAGACCACAGCCACCATACCTCAAAGGCACAAAAGCCGGGTGGACAAAAGCTGGGTTTGAGCAGGCAGTTCTCGACTTACAACAGTTCATTTAGTGACCCAAAATTACAACATCCCTGAAAGAAAGTGACTTAGGATCATTTTTCACACTTATGACCCTTGCAGTATCGCTATGGCCACGCAATCAAACTTTGGATGCTTGGCAACTGCCTCATATTTATGATGGTTGCAGTGTCCCGGGGTGTGTGTGCACACGATCACTACTTACGAGCGTCTGACAAATAAAGTCAATGGGGAAGCCAGATTCGCTTAACAACCGCATTACTCATTTAACAGCTGCAGTGATTCACTTAACCCCCATGGCAAGAAAGGTCGTAAAATGGAGCAAAGCTCACTGCACAAGTATCTCAGCGAGCAACAGAAAGTTTGGGCTTCATTTTGGTTGTAAGTCAAGGACTCTCTGTAATGGATGGAACCAGGGTTATGAACTTTCTGTGTCAGAATTCTACCGCCTTGTTCCCAGCAGAGTTTACTTCTAACCACATGCAGCCAATACAGTTTTGGTAAATGCAATCCTATGATTTTGGTGAAAACGTGATGATTTCTAGTGCTCTCTTTCTATGTAGTTTCTATTTCACAGCCCTTTCCAGAGAGCTAAGCTGTCCTCTGAGAATATCCAAAGCATCTGTTGTGGCCTGTCGACTGCCGGTCCTCCAGCAGCTGAATCAGAGGAGGAGGAGGAGGTGTTTGTCATGTCCCTGGCAGAATCTGATTTGGAGGGGGAGGCTGAGCAGCTGACAGGGAGTGGGAGTGTGGCTCCAATAGCTGTGGAAGAAACTGGGGAAGGGCAAAGTCCAGCTGGGCAGAGCAGGAGAGAGGTAGAACAAGGCAGAGGGAATTCGGAGGAAGACCCAGGCCCAACCCCTCTTCATCCTAGGGCATGCAGGGAGGAACAGAGAAGGGAGCAATGTGAGTTGCGTGGCTTATGGGGAAGGAAAGGGCCCTGATTCCCTTCATTAGTTGCCGCTGGGAACAGAGTGTTTAAAAAGGAAGTTTGCTCACAGCAACTCGTGGGAATCAAATCGTGAATTATCTTTTATGGTTGAGGCTTATCTGAGTTCCTGGCGTCTTCCCAACTGTGTGTGTTTTGTGGGCCTTTGAAGTCTGCAATTCCTTATCCTGCTCTTTCCAGTTAATTGCTGCAGCATAGTTTGTGTGGATTTTTATTTAGAGGTTACATGTACTTTGTTTTCGGACTGAATTTCCTTCATTTAAAGACTGTTCTGGGAAGAGTTTTTTTTCCAGCTGAAGGTAACTGGGCATTGGGGGCAAAGTTGGAGGTATTAAAGGGACTTATCTTACTTATGTGATTGTGTTGCCTTTGTGCCATGCCCCAGGTCATCACAGCATGGGAGTCAGGGTCAGCATGAAGGCAATCTGGGAGCTCTGAGGGGGAAGAGGGAAGGGAGCTGGCAGAGAGAGAGAGACAGAGGTAGAGCCTGGGCCATCTGTCAGCCCTCAGATGGAGAGTCAACAGCCCCCAGGTCTGGAGGTAGCTGATGAAGAAGAGGAGGAACACCCGGGTCCAGTGCCTGACGCGCAGATGCATAGAAGACAGAGGAGAGGAGAGCAGTGGAAATCTATGGGCCGGTCCTTGGGATAGAAGAGCCACCTCTGCTAGCCAAGCCCCTCCCTAGCTCTGGGGATAAAAGGCAGGGGGCGGAGATGAATAGATGTGCCAGACAATTATTCATCTCCCTGCCGGACAGACTTGTTAGCCTGCGTTGAGAGAGAAACTTTTTGCCAGGGCTACTGGTGCGCCTAATAAAGGAATCGTCAATTTAAATGCAGAGGGTTTGTCATGCTCGTGGAGCTGGGTCTGAACAGCATCAAGGCAGAACTATCTCCATCTGAGTCTTCTAAAGCTATGTACCCACCCACACATCTGCTAATGGATATCTCCCAAGATCTGCAGCAAATCCCTCCAATTGGTTGGCTCAGCCCTCATCCTTGTCTTAAGCACCCGTAATTTACAGCTTACCTTCCTTTCTCGACCAGTAGCAGAACATCTGTTTTTTCTCCATTCTGGACACAGCTGCTGATCGCTGAAACATAAAAGGCAGAGCCGTTTGCAAACTTAAAACAAAACCGTTTTTTTCCTAAGTGGACGGAATCTATATAAAACTTATGCTCAATAACAACGAGGCTTGGAAATAATCTATTTTCAATAGCCATTCATCTCAGGGCATAGAATTAAGAGAAGTTAGCAACTAGTCAAGACAAAAGAAACAGCTGTGAGGCCCAAGGAAGGGAGAACGAAAGGAGGAGCTACCTCAGAGTAATTTCTTTATTGCTGCTTGCCTATAAAGAGGAATCTTGCTTAACTAAAGTACTATTATAGATGCCCTGCAAACTGCCGAGGGAAGTCTGCCTTTGCCCTTTTTTCTGCATACTAAAAATTCCAAGCTTCTTTCTAGAAAAGGGACCTTTTTTCCTCCGGGTCTGGAATACATTATACCACAGGAATCTGTGTGAAACAATTAAGAAGATCAGGAAGGCTAGTGGCTAGGCTTTGTTCTGACCTAGGCTTCCCAAAATCACGAAGCAGACTCCTCATTCCCGACAAAACCCCTTTTATTAGGCTAATGTGAATTGCTATCATTCACATCCAGCAAAGTCCTGGCAAAAAGTCTTTCAAGAGTAATTTACAACCACAGACCTTATCAGGCTTGGAGAGTTGCCAGGCCGATAGCTTCCAAGTACAACGTTGCGCAAGAAAATACTTGGCAAGGAATCTCTGAGAGTCACGAACAAAACTTCAAACTAATTAAATGAACTAATTGCCTCCTGCAAACACCATTCCCCTTTCGCTCCTCTTTATTCTTAATGGAAGGGGCCATTCACCATCCATCTGTGCCTTTACTCCCAAGTTGACCGTTGTTCCTTAACTGTTCCCTTCTCCTGGCAGCTCTGCACATGAGCACACTGGGAACAGGCTCCAGCTGTTCTTCTGCCCCACTGACTCCGAAGGCAGCTGATAACTGTCGGACGGCCCTGGCCCCATCTCTGCCTCTGATGCAGAGCACTCATCAGAGCCTTCCCCAGACTCCAGGACTGGCCCATGTTCCTCCCCAACCTCCTCACTGTCTGAGTCTGCCGCCAGCTCTGCTGGCCACTGGTGGGCCACAACAGGCTTCCCATCAAGGAAACAGCAACCACCAGGAATAATTTGGTTCCTGGATCATAAATAAATCATTTTTTACAGAGATAAAAATTCCTTGGCTCCTTTGCTCTCTGTTATTTAGGAATATAGGACACAAAGTAGAGCGATTTAGAAAATAAGGGAAGAAATGCAAAGGAGATCGGTTGAGAGGGGGAAGGGGAGAGGAGAGGAGCAGAGAAGAGAAGGTAGAAGAGGAGAGGGGAGGGGAAAGGAGAGCTGCATAATAGGTGGAGAAACAGATTCAGAACACAGCCACTTCAAGCTGAAAATGAGATGAGATGAGAGATAAGAAAGATAAGAGAGAGAAGAAGGGAGGGAAGAGGAGAATAATGTTATTATCACTTTAAATATACACTAATCAGCATACATTAAAATGAAATTTCATTGCATAAAGCTCTGAAAAGGTTACCACCAATATGCACTACATAAACATGACAAAATACATACATACATACACGTATGCATATACCCACTTATATTATATGGCGCAGAGAAATAACGCAATCTAATCCAGAAGTATACACTACATGTACATGGCAATCATCAGGAGATGGTAAATTATAGTCCCAGTTTAGGCATTAAAGCTGCCCGGGCGACTTTGGGCCAATCACCAGGAGATAGTGAGTTCTAGTCCCGCCTTAGCCATGAAAGCCCATTGGATGACTTTGGTCAGTTTCCTCATTTCAACCCTGAGCTACAAATATTCTCCTTTATTGGTTCTGATTGGCGGATTGTCATCCCTACTATTCTGATCTCTGTTGGATAGCTAGGTTGAACTTGCAGAGAAAGATCCTTAAGCTTTAATAAGAGAGCTGAATCTAGTCTCAGTTAACGTGGATGTCCATCAAAGTACGGGATCTTTCTAATAGGTGATCGTACTGCCATGTGGAATTTTGGGAAGAGAAGACAGGATGGGTTTCTTAATTGCCTGGATCACTCAAGCTTCATTGAACATGATCACGGCTGGCCAGTATCTTTCTCTTCTGGTGCTAATTTTTACACAGATTTGCAAAGCCAACTTTACAATTCCACTTCTTTACAATCTGATTGTAATACAGCCATTCTCCTTCATTATAATTACTGAGGCAACACAGCTAATTGATATATCCCAGTACTTGACAATGATTGTTTCATATATTCCTGAAGTCTTGTGTGAAGAAACCATGGGATTCAGGGAACTACAGGTAATTCTTGACTTACCACAGTTCATTTAATAACTGTTCGAACTTACAACGGCCGCAGTCATGAGTTGAGAACTACCTGTATTTAAGCCAAGAGATTCCTATCTGTTCACAATGGATCTGTGAAGTTTTCAAACTGTAATGAAATCAATATTTTTTTTCTTTTAAATCTTACTTAGCTCCTGGAGCCGCCTTAGATACATTGAATTCTCTTGCAAATTTTCCAGTTCGAGACAAAAATACAAGCTCGTCTTCTCTAAAGCAAACCAGCCTTTTTTCCAATTATCCAAGTCCTGGCAATCCTTGTAGAACAATTGGCCAATGACATCAGTCTCTCTTTCCTGAAGACCTCTGGCCAATTCAGGTACAAAGTGCTATTTCAAACAGAAACAAAAATTAGTACAAAAGTTTGAGCCAAAGCTCTTTCTCAGAATTCAGAAATTCAAGAGAAGGCTTCAAAATCTTCTTCAAGTACTTTTCAAAAGAGAAAAGTCAGAATTTTGCTCAAGAAAGAAAAAAAAAATCTAACGTGTTTCCCCAAAAATAAGAACCTGTCTTATATTTTTTTGCCACCAAAAAAGGCACAAGGTCTTATTTTGGGGGGATATCATCCACTGACTAATCTCACTTGAACATGTTGCCCCCGGCTTCCTTTTTGCTGTTCAAGGCCTTCAGGAACTTCTTCTGCAGCCAGTAAAGCTTTCCCGAAGGCCTCTGCAGCAGATCAGAGAGCTCTGGATTGATCCAGAGCTTTGTTATCGGCTCCAGGGGCCTTCAGGAAACCCTTGCCAGCCTTGCCAGCTGCAGAAGAAATGGGCCGGCAAGGCAGGTGTCGGGGTGTGTGAGACCTGGCTATACCTGTCCAAAGGTAAGTAGTAAGGCAGCTCTACCCCCCCATCCCCACCCTGGCTTAATTTTTACCTGTCCACTCTGGAGTGGCGGGATCTTAATTAGGGCTTATTTTGGGGGTAGGGCTTATATTGGGCGCACGTGTAAAAATCAAGCTAGGACTTACTTTTATATCATATTTTCAGGGAATCAGGTACTCTTAAGATGGCTTTTACTGGTAAAAACTTCGGTGGAGTTTCTTAACTCAAGAATATCAAATCTTTTTTTTTTTAAGATTTTTTTAAATTTATATTTAACTGCATTTTTTTTTTTAAAAAGCAACAAGAACCATTGCAATTCACCAAGAAAACAATTTTACTTCTTCTAAATTGGCTTCCATTAAAAAGTTGCCTTTGTCTGAGAGCTCCTTCTTAAAACAAAAGTGTTTTCTCTCCATTTTCTTTAAAGGTGTATGTCTTAACTTGAACAGATAATTACAAAAACTACCTTAGCAATGGCCCGAGTCCATTTTCGTTGAGAATGCGCCGTCTCAGCTCCAAAGAGAAATGCGCGTTCTGACAGTAAGTAGATTTCAAAGGTAAACATCACTCTAAAATTGCCAAGGAGAAGATGAATCAAATTTATTTAATATCAGCTTCACAAAAGGAAAACAGTAAGTGGTACACTTCGTTCTCAGACCTTCTTTCTCTTGCCTTGGAAACGAATAGCAAGAGTTTTGCCCTCTAAAGTGCTTTATTTGTGTTGCATCTGTTTGGGAATATAATGGGGAATCAATATGCATTTGATAGCCTAATAAAAAGGAACAGAGGAGGGATCAACTAGGTGGGGAACGAAAGCTAAAATCATGGAACGAAACTAATAATTTTGGTGGTAGGGGAAAGAACAATAGTCAACATATTGCATGTTCAAACTGGGGTTCTATTTTCAATGGGGGAGGGAAAAGATAAGTCTTCTGAATTACATTTAGCTATGCCAGCGGTGTCAAACTCAAGGCCCAGGGTGCTTAAATGTGGCCTGTGGGGCCGGCCTGGAATTATCAAGGGACCAGCCCGGGGTGCCTCTGAAGGCTAAAATGGACCACGTGTGGCCCCCACACACCTCATTTTCACCCTCCATGGCTCCTGCAGCACTCTGCCGGCCGAAACCAGGCCAAAAGCAGCCAAAAAACAGGCCCAAAACAGGCCAAAAAAATGGGCCAAAAATGGACTGAAAACAGGCCCAAAACAGACTGAAAAACAGACTGAAAAAAACAGGCCAAAAATGGGCCAAAAACCAGCAAAAAAAAAGCCCGAAATGGCCCATTCCCATTTCCCCGCGAATTCCTTTTTATGTCTAGATACCTAGATTTAAACACAAGGGAAATGCATTATGACTTATCTCCATGTAGAAGGCTACCTGGTTGCTTAGCTACCTTCCTAGTGTTGCAGAATTGGCAGAAGGTTGTTATGTTTGGGCTTCTGGGCTTTAAGAAAGAAGGTTGAAATGGATCCTTTTTCTATTCCAGCTGGAATAAATCGAAGAAAAGAATAAGAATTTCCCATCTGGGCCCAACCAAGGGCACTGGGATGTTCAGCCTTACTTGGAAGCAGAGGAGAAATTGCTAGAGACGCTTCTAATTATTCCACGTCCTTGTTTGTAAAACAGATTCTTGCACACACAGAGCTAACACCATTTGAGTCTGTTTTCCCTCCCCGAAAGTTTTCCCTCCCCTGAGCTATCAGAGATGCAAATCCTGGCTTTAAAAAATTGACAGGAAATATCCTCATGCCTCTGGAAAAAGTTTGTAATTTTTACAAGCTTCACCGAGCTGTGAATCCCAAGGAATTTTAATTTCACTATGTTCACTAAGAGTAAAGTTTTATTGGGAAAGAGCAAATTCAAAGTCTTCACACTGCCTATAAAGCATAAGGTTCATTTCTCAGAAGTTCATTCATTTGTTCATTCATTCATTTATTCATTCTTCATTCATTCATTCATTCATTCTTCATTCATTCATTCTTCATTCATTCATTCATTCATTCATCCACTCTCTCTCTCTCACTCCATTTGTATATTGCCGGATCTGCCATAAACTCCTAGATTCACTGATTTAAAAACACTGATTAATATCAAGTAATTTTAATTTCATTAATTTGATTAAGAGTAAAGTTTTATTGGAAGAGAGAAAATTCAAAGTCCTCATGCTGTCCATAATGTGTGAGTTTAATTTCTCAGATCATTCAATAATTCATTAACGCACTCCATTCATTGATTCAGATAATTCATTTATTTATTTACTCACTCACTTGATACATTGATTCATTCATTGATTCAGATAATCCATTCATTCATTTACTCACTCACTCCATTTATTGATTCAATCATTAATTCATCCATTGGTTCATTGATTCCATTCCATTCAATCAACCATCAATCAACCTTGTGGGTGCTCCATCACTGGAGGCTTTCAAAAAGAGACTTGACACCCATTTCTCTGGAATTGAATAGGGTTTCCTACTTGAGCAGGGGGTTGGACTAGAAGACCTCCAAGGTCCTTTTCAACTCTTTGATTCTATGTTCTATTTGTTTATCCTTAGATCGGCCATGAACTACCAGCAATTTACAATGAGAAATCCAAAATTAAAACTTCCACCATAAGAATGTAACAACCATTATAAAAAGTTGCTTTGCAAAATAACGATGATGATGATGATGATGATGATGATGATGATGATGATGATGATGATGATACATTTTTAAATGTTCAGTTGACTGAGTTTCATATTTAATGAATAAAAGATAATAATAAAAGATTATTAATAAAAGATAATATTAATAATATTAATAATATTAATATTAATATTAATAATAATAATAATAATAATAATAATAATAATAATAATAATAATAATAATAACAACAACAACAACAACAACATTCACTGGAAACTGCCAAAAGTTTGGATTTGAGTATAATAAGAACTACTGGGAACATCAAGTTGAAGGTTCTGGGGAATGAAAAAGTCAAGATCTTGTGGGACTTCAGAATTCAGACTGACAGGCACTTGGCCCACAACACACCTGACATAACAATAGTTGAAAAGAAAAAGGTTTGGTTCATTGACATTGCAATACCTGGTGATGCATGAATTGTAGACACACAGCAAGAAAAAAAATCACAACGTATTGGGACTTACAAATTGAAGTTGAGCGACTTTGGAAAAAGAAATCGTGTGTTATCCCCATTGTAACTGGAGCCCTTGGAGCAACACCTAAAGGGCTGCCTGGCTATTTGGAAATCCTGAATTTATCAGATTTGAATACCCTGATTCTACAAAAAACCACCCTACTTGGAACAGTTTAAATCCTCCGACGCTACCTGAACATTTCCTAGGACTTGAGCTGTTGAGCTACCAACCAGCCCCAAAGGCTGTGAATCTCACTAAAGATTTAACAATAACAATAACAATAAATCAACACTGACAGAGCAAAGCATTAACCAAAACCAACAAAGACCTCGGACTTACCCCGTGGGTAAGGTGTCTTCCGACTTATGAATGACAAGACAGATGACTTCACCAATGTCCAATGTGCCACTTGGGGTGGCCATCTTCTCATTCTCATAGTAACTCAAAAAGCCGCTTTCCAACACGCACCATCTCTTATTGCACTCTATATTCAAAGATGGATTTCTTTTATTAACTGGAGAGTTAATCATTATCACAGGATGATTAGCAAACAATCCATGATGGAAAACAGGCATAGCCAACAGAGTCCTTCAATGAGTCTTGCAAAACGTCGATCTTCCATTTGCCTTTACCAAAGAATTCTGTGATTTGGTGATGCACAACCGATTTGCTAGCTGTCATTTTCGAAATGGGACAACTTGCCGGGGCTGTCTCATCCCAGCCAATTCACCCCAGCCAACTCACCTCATCCACTCACCTGGCCAGCGGTGGGATAGCTTAACATAACTGCACTGTTTTCCATCACTGTTTCTTCGATGTTATTTGAATTTTTGTCATTCCTGTTTCATTTTGTCCCTCCTACAGCATCCTTGCTTTAATGATTCTATTCCACCATTTCTTTGATATTAGTATAATTCTTGTATACATCAAAGAAATGGTGGAATAGAATCCTTCAAGACAGGATACCAAAGGCAGGACAAAACGAAAGGGGAATGACAAAAATTAAAATAATGTCGAAGAAACAGTGGCGTATAAAAGGCTAGGGTAAGTTGGCCATGGCAAGGTGGCTGCGGCGAGTTATCCTAGATCTGTTATTTTAACTTACAAGAGATTCTGCTTTTAATAACCAGACTGTTTTGCAAAATTATTTTATCTTTAAGACAGAAATCTAAGAATTGGACATTCTGCTGGATAATTTAAATTAATTGGGTCATAATAGCAATAGCACTTAGATTTATATACTGCTTTACAGTGCTATACAGCCCTCTCTAAGCGGTTTACAGAGTCAGCCTGAGGACATGAGGACAACAATCTGAGTCCTCATTTTACCGACCTCAGAAGGATGGAAGGCTGAGTCAACCTTGAGCCTGGTGAGATTCGAACTGCCAAATTGCAGGCAGTTGGCAATCGGCAGAAGTCGCCTGCAGTACTGCACTCTAACCACTGCGCCACCATGGCTCACTAATAATGCTTTTAAAAATCCAATCTCCATATGGAAATTCAAATAAGACAGGTAAGTATATCGAGACACAGAATGCATAAAATGGGAGATCAAGTGAGCTTAGACTAAGTAAAATCTTGCCTGGATCTAAAATCAATATTTGCACATTTCACATCTGACATCCTGAACCTATGGATTTTATGTACACCTCTGCACCAAATAAAGTTCTTTGAACTTCCATCCCTATGAGAAATAATCAAATTTCTAAATTAAGTCCATTACTCCGCTTCCCATTTAGGCTCATTTAAGTAGCCAGTCCAACTTCAACCAAGCTTTCATCTTAAACAAGGGGATGTTTTGATGGTTAATGCGAATAAGCCTAGGAAAGCTTATTCCTTTCCTTTTGATATTTTTAAATAGCCTCATTGAAATGACGCAGGCATGTTTTTTTTTATTTTTCCTTTTTAAAGAACCCAAAGAAAAACAGAGGCTTTTAAAAGCTTCTTATTGTAGTCGCCAATTGCCGATGTACAGAAACCCTCAAGACGCAAACACGAGAGATCGGGGAGGCAAAAAGAAAAAAAGAGAAAGGAAACGTAAGCGGAAAAATAAGACACCCGCTGAACTGGAACAGAAATGAAAGCTGCGGGGAAACAAAACTATAGCTGGACAGAAACTGGCTGAAAAAGAAAGGGTGGAGTGTAGAGCGGCCAAAAGCTAGAAGAGGCTGCTCTTCATCCCACCTCACCCCATGGGATGGAGATAGAAGCCTTTAGAGTCAATCTATTTTATGCTGGTGGAAGTCAGGGTAGAAAGCCTGCTCAGTGGGGCAAAGCTAAGGAAAACAAGCTATCGCATGAGGAGAGGAGAGGAGAAAAAAAAGAGTCTCAAAAAGATCATCCCCCCCAAATGTATTCTGATCAGATATAACCAGGCAAGATTTCCTATAGTGTTAAAAAATGACTAAAGTTAGCTCTTAGCCAATGTTCCTAAAATGAATAAAGGGAAGAAGACGACTGTAGATCTTCCTTCCTTCCTTTCCTTTTCTCTCCCTTCTACCTTTCCTTCCTTCCTTTCTCCCTCCTACCCTTCTTTCCTTCCTTCCTTTCCTTTCTTCCTCCTATCTTTTCCTTCCTTCCTTCCTTCCATCCTTTCTTCTCTTCCTTTTTCCCTCCTACCCTTCCTCCTCCTCTTTTCCATCCATTCACCCTTTCTTTTTCTTTCTTTCTTTTTCTGTCTCTCTTTCTCTTCAGGATCTATCATCTTTATCTCTCTCTTTCTTAGTTAATCTCTCATCTATCCTACATATACGGCACAGTGTAATCTAGCTTTTATCTTTATCATCTATCATCTATCTTCCTATCATCCATCCATCCATCCATCCATCCAGCTATTTGATTTATCCCACCACAGGCAACATGATAATGGCTACTGTTCTGTTTTGTAAATTTTGTATTAGAACATTTTAGTCCAGGCTGCCTGTTGAATTTAATAGCTGCAGCAGTTTTATGTCTTTTTAAGTTTAGTTGTTTAGTTAGTTGTTGGATGGCCAAAATAATACAAATGAACAAGCAAGCAAATAATAAATATATGTTTTCTGCTGCAGACCAACTTTCTCCTTCTTCATCCTTGGCTCAAGCTATGGTTTCTGAGATCTAGCATCTGACCAATATAATTGTCAGTGTTCCAATGAAACTCCCGATTTCATTTGGCACTCAGAAACAAAATTCATCAAGTAAGAGTTCGTTAAAGAAGTCATATTGGCACATCTGGGAAAATTTGAATCTGAGAGTTTTGGGTTTTCCCTTCCCAACTGAAAAATCAAAACTCATCCCCTACACCCACCAGTCCATCACATGGTCCAACCAACCATCGTTCCAACTGGAGACATTCCTCCAGACATTCATCTCCATGTGCAGGGCAACATGTCCTTGACTCTCTGAGAAAGAATGTTGTTGTGTCTAATCTTCCACCTCTCTATGAAATCCCCCCTCCCAAATTCCCAGGCACTAAAATACGGGAGCCTAGAAGCTTCTAAGTAAAATATGGCTTCCAAGGCTGACAATAATACCAGGATACCTAAGCCATAAATAGGAAAGAAAGACCAACATACCTTCTTTAATTTTTCTCTCACTAAACAGCTTGGAAGGGTTGAAGGAAACCATGTATAAATTATCATAAAGGAAGGATGGTAAGGGGGAATCGGGAGAGGAAGTGGTGTTGGTGCGGCCATCACGGTTGGAAAAATCTATAAAGTAAGGAAGAACTATTAGTTATGAAAGTTAAAATTCACATCATTGCTTAAGACTACTTGCTCTGAAGAGCGGAAGCTAGAAAGCTTAGGTTGACGCAGAGTCAGGTGTACTCAGCATTTGGTTTCAGCATTCAGGAAATAGAACATAGCGCATAGCATAACAGAGTTGGGAGGGACCTCGGAGGTCTTCCAGTCCAGCTCTCTGCCCGAGCAGGAGACCCTAAGGCACACGCGACTTGAAAAACCATACTATGATGGCCCAGGGCGAAGCACAAAAGCAACAAAGTCACAAAAGTAGGTAAAGTCCCTTTAATTCCTCCAACCTGGCCCCCAATGTCCAATTATCATCGGCTGGAGAAAAAAGTCTCCCAAGAACAGTTTTTTAAAGGGAAGAAATTCCATTCGAACCCAAAGTACATATATAAATTATAAATAAAAACCAACACAAACCACGCTGCAGCAATTAACGAGACAAGACAGGATAAAGGAATTGCAGACTTCCAAAAGATAATGAAACAGACACAGTTGGGAGGATGCCAGAACCCAGGTAAGACTTGACAAACCAAGATAATTCACGCTTTGCTTCCAGCAAGGTGCTGTGCACAAACACCCCTTTTAAATCCTGTTTTCCCAGCTGCAGCTAATGAAGGGAATCAGAGCCCTTTCCTCCCCCGTAACCCACATAACTCACATTGCTCCCTTCTCCGTTCCTCCCTGCATGCCCTGGGATGAAGAGGGGGTGGCCCTGGGTCTTCCTCTCAATGCCCAGCAGGACTGTGCCCTTCCCCAGTTTCCTCCCCAGCCACCGGAGCCACACTCCCACTCCTTGTCAGCTGCTCGACCTTCCCCTCGGAATCAGATTCCAACAGGGGCACGACACATACCTGAAAACTTATTATGGTGGAGGAATTCCATTTGCAACCTCTGCCCGGATTTTTTGGCTAACAAATATGGAGTGCTGAACACGGGATCACCTGTTGCACACATCACGTCTGCTCCACTGAACAATAACATCATGGTCTCCAAGACATCGGGCTTAATAACTGCAGCACAGAGCGCCTGGTCACAAAGATGAAAAGTATGAGCAGAATGACAAAGAAGAACAGATTGACATTTCTTAACTGAATGGGATCACTCACAAAGACAAGAGTGAGCATGCAGAAAAGAGTTATAGTCACCAAGATGCTCTCAAGCACCTAACTCAGGGGTGTCAAACACAAGGCCCGTGGGTCAGATCCGATCCATGATGTGGGTTAAGGGGCCATCCCACATCACTTTGGCCTGTCTACTCAATGTGAAGAGGAAACATCGGGCCAGCGTGGCTTTAGCCTGGTCAACCCAATGCGAAAAGGAAACATGCCAGCAGTTTGGGGAGTGGCATCAAGCTGGCCACACCCACCCAGACACCCACGCCCACCCAGTCAACCATGCCCCCACAGCCCCCCCGAGGTCAACCACAGCCCTGAAGCGGCCCTCAATGAAATTGAGTTTGACACCCCTGGTCTACAACAATTCGCTGTGGTCGTCTTGCTGTGGGCCAACTGGCCACAGGACAGCTCATTCTGGGACAAAAACATGGTGAGTTGGCTGTGACAAGTTGTCTCACTCCACACCAGAAGCAGTTAGATGGTTATTTTCCTTAGCTATTGAATTATTACTTCTATCCCATTGCAATTCTATGACTCCATAATATGGTAATTTTTATGGTTTTATCTTAATATAATAATCTTCTCCATTGTATTGTCATCTATCTGTGGGTCAACTGGCCACAGGACAACTCATTCTGGGACAAGAGTTACACTAATATCAACGAAATGGTGGCACAGAATCGTTAAACAAGGATGCAAAAGAAAGGACAGAATGAAATGTGAATGACGAGCATTAAAATCATGTTTGTGTTTATTTTAAATAATTAAATAAAATTCTTAAACTTTTTCCTCAGCAAGTTGTCCTGTGGTGAGCTGTCCCGGAGAGAAGTTGGCCATGGTGAGATGCCCAGGGTGAGTTGGCAGTGGTTGGCAGTTGGCTGTGGTGAGTTGATTGTGGTGAGTTGGCCAGGGTGAGTTGGCTGTGGCAGGTTGTCCCACAGAAGCAGTTAGAAGGTTACTTTCCTTAGCTATTGAATTATTACTTCTATCCCATTGCAATTCTATGGCTCCATATTATGGTAATTTTTGTGGTTTTATCTTAATGTAATAATCTTCTTTTCTTTTATGTACACTGAGAGCATATGGACCAAGAAAAATTCCTTGTGTGCCCAATCACACTTGGCCAATAAAGAATTCTATTCTATTCTATTCTATTCTATTCTATTCTATTCTATTATTCTATTCTCCTGGTGGAGACTGACTCTAAGGAAGAGGAGGAACAGCCGACAGGGAGTGGTGGTGGAGGAGGGTGGGGAAGGGCAGAGGCCAGCTGAGCAGTCAGAGGAGGAACCAGGCCCATCCCCTATCCATCCTAGGGCATGCAGGGAGGAGACGATCAGGGTAAAACATGGTCTACTCGGGAGGAGAGGGCCATGATCCTCTTCATGGGTTGCAGGTGTGAGATCTGCATAAGAGTTTGGACCTGCGTGCTAACAAACGCTGGAGACAAATTAGTGTTTTATCCCTAGAGGAGGTTGATCTTGGTTGGCGTTCTTCTAACAGACTGTACCTGGTTATCTTCCTGAAGTTGGCAATTATTTATCCTGGTTTGTCGTGGAACTTTATTCAGTGCAGTTTGTTTTTGGTTTTTGCTTCATTATCAGCTCTTTGAACTTGAACTGTGTTTCTTTCATTTGGAATGTCATTTTGAAAATAATCTTCAGCTAAAAAATCTTCAGCTATGAACAATTAAATAGTGAAGCCAAGTTGAAGGCATTAAAGCAGGGGTCCCCAACCACCGGGCCGCGGACCGGTACCGGGCCGTGGAGCACTCTTTACCGGGCCGCAAAGAAAAAAAAATAAAAAAAAATGGCGGCTTTCTTCTCCTTCGGTGAATGCTGCTGGGATCGGGGATCAAGGACACAAATGAAAGAAGGGGAGGGAGGAAGCAACCGAAGCCTGTCCTGCTCTCTGGCTCAGCTCTCTCAGTCGCTTTCTCGCTCCTCCACCAGCCCAGGAAGAAACTGTTTCAAAGAAGCTGGGGGGGGTGGCTTTTCCTGTCGCCGCAGCTTCCCCGAAGCGCCCGTTTCACCCCCACCCCGCCCGCCCGCTCGCTCGCGGTTCAATCCACAGTGCTCCGTTCTGCCTGCCTGCCTGTCTGGTTGTTTGGGAGCAGCTTCGGCTGAGAATAATAACTATTCGCCTCTTTTTATCAGCCGAAGCTGCTCCGAAACGAAGAAGGCAGGCAGGCAGGCAGGTAGAACGGAGCACTGTGGATTGAACCGCGAGCGGGCGGGCGGGCGGGG